ATGGCATACAAGCCATCTATTCTTTTGTTGTTGTTTTTCAAAAATTCAACCAAAAAATCAAATGTAACGTTTTTGAAATAGCCTCTTACGCCGTTAATACGCTCATTAAGGGTGATGTGTAAATTATTGCACTTAAGGGTGAAAGTGGTTCAAATGATTTCCAAGTTCCAACGAAAACCTTGTTTTGTGAGACAGCGACCATCAATTTCATATGTTCAGTAACGCTTAAACGACTTTCTTAAAAGCGGTTCCAAATTTTTCAAGGAACTTTTCTCTTCAGAACCAGGTTTTAGTGTTCTTTAATATTCGTAAAGTAATATTTCTGTTCTACCATTAGAAAACCGAAAATGGGAGAAAATTTTCAAAAAATATGTACTTTGGGTGGCAATAGTAGATGGCAGCTGGCAATATGATGGAGAAAGACCAAAAAGCTAGCCCACACCAAAGAAACCCTACGCCCCCCTCTTTAGCGTGACGTAATTGACGGACGATCTCAAATCCTCGTCGACCGCAGAGGCGAGGCGAGGCGCGTGCGTGAGCATGGGCGGCATAGCGACGGAGGCAGCGCACCGCATTGCGTAACGCGCGCTTCAGGAGGGCCCTCGCACACACTCATCCCCCTCACTCTGCCCTGCTCATTACGTAAGGTGTCAGGCGTATCAAGGCATCGCAAAACCTCGCGACGCGAGCGATACTGCTCGACACGCAGGGAGCGACTAGAATCGGCCACCGCGAGGCGCTGCTAGCAAGGTGATGATGCCCCTAAATACGACGGCAGCCAGCGATAACGCACATATGATTTTCCTTCTGTTTTACTGCTTATTTGCTTTTTAAAAATCCAGCTTTGTTTCCGACTTTAACTAAATGATTTTAAGTTATTATTATTATTGAAAATCACATATGAATAATTTCATTAAATAGATTTGAATCATTCGTTGACTCTCCAAATTACGTCACATACATTAGAAGTCGTCAGAAAAATGAAACTACGAAGTTAGTGAAGATAAACAATTCAATTTTTTACTTAATAAGTTCCCCGAAACCTCGCTGACAGACACCCCTCATGTGCGAACACAATTCATGACCCCCCTTTTTGAAGGTCCAGGACGACACCTGATTTTGGAGAACTTCTGTAGGGAACACTTCTCTTCGGCAGGCATGTTTTCTGTCCCTATATATTGGAGTGGTTTCACTGCATTTGAATTACTGCAATAAAACATTAAATATTACAGTCTTGAGAAATGAAACTAAGAAGACAATATTGACAGTTGACATATATTGATTAGAAAGACTGCACCTGCGGAAGCTGAATCATCTTCCCTTACTCCGATTTCCGCTTCCCCTTCACGAAAACCCATTTGCTCCTTCGAACATAAGTTTGAGCGGCATTCCTTTTCAAACTGATAGCTTATCAGCTGGGTCAGCGATATTTCAATTCTTGCAAAACTGGGTAGTTAGGGTGGCTGTAAGGTGACCTACTTCATTCGTCTGTTATTCAGAAAACAGCAATTTCATTCCACTTTCTTATTTATAAAACTTTGGCTTGTAGTAACGCTAATATTATCATAACTTATTTTACAATAAATTCATACAAATGATTTGAATTTTGTGGCTTATGCACTTTAGGTGGAGAAACAATAGAATCCAATGATTATTAAGTTTATTGTTATCTGTGTATTAGTTGTCAGTGACATTTAAATAAAAGTTTGGTAAAGTATAATTTCAAGCACAAAGTGGAATCATTTAATTCTTCTGTAAACGAGTTATTAAATCCATAGTTGATAGTATACATTCCGAACATTTCTCCTGCAAAACGAAAATTCCATGCAACGTGACGTTCCTATATTGTATCAGCAGATCTATTTTGCTCTGCAAATTTTAAGGCTTATTCCGAGATGAATTAAAAAAGTTTCAGGGTAAAAAACATTTTTTAATAAAACACGAGAATATTTGATACTTTTTCTCATTGATTATTCCAATAACGTAATTCCAAGTTGTTATGGAAATTAAAATGATTACTATGAAACACGAAGAAATTTAAATAAAAAAGTGTCCAATGACTAAAGAATGTTGACGCGATGAAACCTTATTAAAATAATAGAACTAAACAAAATACAATATTATTTTCGCATTTGAAGTCCACATTTAAACGATACACCTATTTGATAACAATTCCTCATATACTGGAGTAACCACAACCACAAATTGCAATCATATTTGATTGATGCGTAATTCATTCATTCATGTTATTTTCAAAATAATAATAATAATAATAATAATAATAATAATAATAATAATAATAATAATTTTAGGCGTGAGTTCAGTCATGAGACTCACAATTATAATTCGTCCTAATGTGAAAGCCAAAAAATATTTTTTTTAAAATATAAAGACATTCCGAATCTACCAATCATGGCTTCCACTTCTTTTCAGACACGCGGTCAATTAACTCGTTCCTTCCGACATGCGAAATCTACACTCCTAAAATCGTTGATCGAAACCCTAGGTTCGTCCCAATCCAATTCGAAATTCGGAAAACCGATTCCCTGGACAACTGCCGGATCGCAAGGACAGGATGTGACCATTCACCCCATGCCCTAGAACCGCGGGACGCCCAAGGCCGGCCGTCCTCAAGAGCGCCTCCCCTGGCCCAACGCATTCAGTTCTTGCCTCCACCCCGGTCATTCCCGTCTCGCGCACTGGCACTGCTTCGAAACTCATCAACTTAACAGTTTATCGCAAAAACAAAAACACGAAAAGAAAAATAGAGCTCTGCACGCTCAACGAGGAAACGCCGAGAGTCCGTCTCCAACACGAGCGGGACGCCACAGTCCGTTCGGTCGATGCCGCTCTTGCGGTGGCCGCGTTACGTTCTAATCAGAGAGGTAAATATTCGAGAGGGCGCGCACGAGGTTCGTCCCGCCACCGCCCTCCTCGCTTCCCACTTCTGAGGGAGACGATAGCGTCCCGGGCGCAACGGGAATTTAGGACAGGTGGGTACTTCATTTTTGCGGCTGCAGCACGTCGCTTAAATACCTGATTGTCGCTTCATTTGGGTAATGGGCGGTAAGAAGTGGTACGGTCTGGCGCGACGCGCGCGGGGTGGACACGCAGCAGGTGGAACGAAAAGAGACAGAAAGGCGCAGAGAAAGGGTTAGAAAAGAAAGAAGGGAAGCAGGGAGAATAGAGGGAAGCAGGGAGAATAGAGGGTGGAACAGGAGAATAGAGGGAAACAGGTGAGGAATAGAGGTGACGGGAAGAGACACAGGAGAATAGAGGGAAACAGGGAGAATAGAGGAGGACAGGGCAGATGAGGAACGGTGGGAATAGAGGGGAAACAGGGAGAATTAGAGTGGAAGAAACAGGGGAGATTAGAGGAAACAGGGGAGTATATATGAGGAAACAGGGAGAATAGAGGGAAACAGGGAGAATAGAGGGAAATATTCAGTGAGAATAGAGGGAACAGGGAGAATAGATGGCCGAAACGGGAGAATAGAGGGAAACGGGGAAATAGAGGGAAACGGGGAGAATAGAGGGAAACGGGGAGAATAAGAGGGAAACGGGGAGAATAGAGGGAAACGGGGAGAATAGAGGGAAACGGGAAAATAGAGGGAAACGGGAAGAATAGAGGGAAACGGGAAGAAATAGAAGGAAACGGGGAGAATACGAAGGAAACGGGGAGAAATAGAAGGGAAACAGGGAGAATAGAGGGAAACAGGGAGAATAGAGGGAAACAGGGAGAATAGAGGTAAAGGGAGAATAGAGGTAAAGGGAGAATAGAGGTAAAGGGAGAATAGAGGTAAAGGAAGTCACAATGGAATGGCGAAGGCACTGTTACGTAGGCAGCGGGAGTGTAGGGATGTTTTCTAAGAATGATGGGCGGAGTGTCAACATGTGCGAAAATGAGAGCGGAGACGAAGCTTATGCGACAATCCATTCCCGCGCATTGACCTAAAAAGAGAAAAAGAAAAGGCGTTCTTAGTCCCTTCGTGATAGCGACCATTTATAATCTCTACAGCGAACAAAGCCGTAGGTTAGAAATTAATGTGGGTGAGGACAATTGGCAAATGGAAAATATATTTAACCTATTCTTTCCATCGCTGTGAAAAAAAATATTCAACTCGCTCACTTTTCCGACACGCTCCAGACCTAGAATCACCTACAGCGATCCGAAAACAAGAAGTGGCGCTGAGAGGCGGACTGTGGGAGGCCAGAAATCATCGCTCGCCACCGAATGTTTGATCTATTTTCAACCCCATGAGCGCACGATTCCAAAAATCTATAAAACAAGTAATTATTTTCACTCCAAGATCAAACGGCTTAAACAGCCATTTTTCTATATATTTACATAAATCATCGCATGCGGTGTGACTGGCGGAATCAGAAACAATCGTGTAGCCAAATATGCAAAGCCTGATTTCGTATTCCAAAAGAACGTGCAAACAAAATTTTCGCAAAAATGTATTTAAAAAATAGCATCCGATGAATACTTTATGAATATGATTACACAACAAAAACGTTCTTTTTTATCGGTGCAATCTACGACTTTTTATGCAACGGACGTAATTATATTACAGATTCTTCATTGTTAATAATTATGAATAATTAATTATTAACAACAGATGAAAGAACAGAAAACATCAAACACATTGTGTGTATCATATAATCACCTCCCTTCCCATTTTTAGTATTAATATAAAATAAAGCATGTATTCTAATAAAAGAACAATTATTTTAAATAGTCATGATTCTAAACATGGGATTCAATAAATAAAATATTTAAATAGAATAACATTACTTCCAAATACCTTTTTTCTCGAGAGAAATACTGAAATTATTATTTTACTACAATAATTCACGCAAAAATGGTCATTTTGTACATTTCGGAACTTTTTGAATGTATTAAGCGAAAACATTTTTTACTTGATACAATGAATCAGAAGAAAACGAAAATGAGTCAGTACACCAAGGATCGTAACCGACATCAACATGCAACTGACCTGTCGTATTCAGCATTATCCTCATCACAGCGCTCGTCCTTTAGGTCCTTCCAGCTTTTCCCGTGCCGGCATGTCGTCACCAGCACAATATCACGTTCGTTGTGCAGATGGTACAGGCTATTGCGCGTTTCAGAACCAATGCCATGCACGTACCTCTTGCCTTTAAATGCCAATAAGTACTTTTTGGTCACAGGAAAGTTGTTAGTAGTCACAAAACCAGGATCGCCACCTTTTTCAGGATGGTTTTTATGAAATAATGGAATGGACACATCGAATCCAGGTCGCATGTTCTGTATTGATATGCTCGCCTTTGCCAGAATGGCCATCCCGGGATCGAAACCTAAATGGTCTTCCGCATATTCCGGCCAAGTGCCAGAGTACAAGTTAAAAATCACATGGTTTCTCCCCTCATTCCACAGTTTCAGCTTCTGCAACCGCGAGGGCACATTGCGCACGTAGTCCGGGGAGAGCGAGTCCCTGTCCAGGGTATCAATGGACAGCACGAACAAACACGCCTGACTAGGATCCGAAGTGTAATATCGCGACTCCTGAATCACATTCAGCACCTTCTGGTACGAGGGACTGGGCATGTGCACCGTCGCCGCCTCCGACTCTTCCGCTTGCGGGTACACGTACACTTTGAACTCGCCGCGGCACTTGCTGAAATCGAAACACGTTTCCATGCGGCACCGCTGCAAGTTGCGGGCGACGGTGGCGGGCGCGGGAGCAGGAAAATGCCCGGCGCCGGCCCGTCGCAGCCGCGGAGACTCCAGGTCCCGCTCCAGCAGCTGTGACTGCACATCGAGGTACGAACCCAGGCCCTCGTGCGGCGCGCGCGCTCGCTCGCTCTTCAGCCGGTAGCCGCCGAAGTAACAGTACGCCAGAAAAGCACACGACAGAAGCACCAAAAGATAACGTTTCTTGGCCTGCATTTTGTGGAAAATCGTGTCCCGCAACCCCCTCGGGGCTAACCTTTAGCACTCTTCATGTCATGGTTACAATGCATCGAATACAATTACTCACGAAATCAGCGGATCTTGATGAAAAGGAACTTCGACATAACTTTCGGACACCGTGTCATCTTAGTCGTTCTTTTCACGCCATCTTACAGGTTACTCATCGCCTTCCTTCTTCTGAAATGCTGTGAGCTCAGTCGATATGGCAGTCGCACAACAAAAACCACGCGCATCGTTCACTGTAGCACACGGCGGCCCGAGGCCGCTACCCGCCAGACTATGAATGTAAACAGAAACTTCGTATCGTAAACACACACGCTGTGCAGCACTCACTGACTAAATCCAACCGGCGCCTCTCATTTCCACACGAAGTTTGGCAGCTGCAAAAGGTTACAGCCGCAACGACCGTCATTACGGCGCACCGCTGCCTCCATGCGGCGCCTGAGGGAACTAGAGAGGAGGACAGCCGACTGTCGCAATACAGCAGCGCGCTCACTGCGGGAGTTTGAAAGTTCGGTACCAACTGATTACCAACATAACACGGCTGAATGCCGCTAGTCCTGTGAAGGACAAAATGAGCAATGAACACATCGATTAGTTGTCATCAATATATCGTCATTGCTTTGGGATATGAAATACATAATTTTTCCTCGTTCTTAACAGAATAAATAAAATAAAATTATTGACAAACACGTATGAAAGTACAAAATATTTTCCTAATTAAAAATTCGTTATTGATTTTGAGAATGGTCATGTCAAAATAAAAATTTTGATTACTTATTACAATATAATTTAATGATGTACAGATAATGAGAGTTGAATTTAACTCCAATTTTTTAATGTTGGTACACATCAAACGTAACCCGTTTCGCAAATTTTCTCTGATATTTTTCCCACCGCCTTTATTTATTTTTAGCATTACAAAAAGTTTAGTAATCAAATAATTTGTGGCCATTTTCTGGTTGCGTAAAAAAACTCATAACCGTAAACGAAGTCATAAAAATCATTCATGGCGAATCCCAGCTTGTATACCAGGCGGAGTATTAACTTACGAAAAGCGCAGTTTCGGGCCTATTTGGTTCACAAACATTACAACGGGAACTGGCTTTTCATAATTCATAATTATCCACCGCAATACGGAGAGAATTCGCGAGATCCATGCTTCCCAGTAACCGGAGACTCGCATTCTTTACGAGCCACGACACACAACCGAAATGAACATTTAAAAATTTGTTACAATTTTACAAAACATTAAACGGAGCCTTTATTTATGAACTGATATGACAGTGTACACAGACCGCGAAAATCCACAGTTTTTTTATGTTTGCGCGAAGCTCTAAAACATTTTTCGTTCGGGAAGTTTTCATTTTTTGTATATTGTGTTTACACGTGGGGTCAGTCTGGCTCCGTGTAAACCGTGCGTGAGAAGTACATGGTGTCGCATTAAGTGAAGAACATGAGTTCAAACGGAGGCCCTAGGGCCGCACTCCATTGACCAGTTTCAACAACAAATAAACCGAAACCGATTATTTTAATCGTTTCAAGTGCCCTGATCCGATTCGACCATCCGATGTCGTTGCGGGACACGTTGGAAATTGTTTTCAAGAATTGTATTCCACCCCAAGAGAAATATTGCCTTCCCGCGTCGCAGAAATCTGTTCTATGCTACTGGCAGGTCGACGGCCGCGAGTTGTGCGCTCCGGCAAATTCAACAGTGCAGAATTCGCGCTGTCACCTCGCACATGTTATGTAATCTGGACACTTTTTTAACCGACAAGAAAACCATGCAGCCCTGAGATCCGGTGACTACCGACTGGAGTTCATGTCATGCTCCCTCCCCCACCTCGCACCTTTATCCATTGGTGAACTCAATGAATAGGTTACCAGAGTATCGGCGTCCAGCCAATAACTGACAATGAGTTTTGTTACGAATTGTCACTTGGGAATCATGGTTGTAATGTAAATGATTGCAATTCAGGTCTTTGCTCATCTACATAAAATATTCAAACGGAATGAAAAAAAATAGTATTCGAATTTTCATCAGTGTGAAATATATTAGAATAAAAAAGTTGCAATAATAAAAAATAATAGTTCTAATAATGGAATTGGCAGAAATATTATTTGACAAAAGCAAAACTTTTTCATTATAAAAAATTCTAAATTGTGATAATCGATTAAAGTGTTTCTCAGTTATAATTACTTTTATACATATTCCTGAATTGAGCAAATTAAATATGTTGCAAAATAGATGTTCCCCGAAGTCCTTTACGTTTTCATTAACGCCATTATAAAGACAACGGTTCACCAAGCTATACTATTAAATAAATTTAAAGAACACATATCTTATGAGATTTTTTCAGAATTAAATATGTTAATGTACTTTGAATCATCACCTTCATAATATTCCAGGCTTAAAGAATAGTAGACTCGAAGAATTTAGAAAAATTTTTAGTTTGTATTTGTCCGAAACCAATGGAAGATATGGTGGTTTTATTGTCTTAGTTACAAGTAGAGGATTAAAGGAGGTGTTGGCGACTCCCGGATACTTATCATAGGTAAATTATCACGAGTGCTCTGAATTTTGACGAAAATTCCAGAGTATTTCACAGTAATATTCCACGAAAAAAAAAATTTCCAATTTTTTTTTTCCATTTTGAGTTCCAAAATGCGCCTAATATTAAAAATAAATAAATGCGTATGTTAAAATCAGTCTCAAAATGCGCCAAGTATTGAAATAACTGAATGCATATGTTAAAATCAGAGGTTATGTTGTAGAATATACGCTATTTATTAGACATCGTCATAGCGATCAATGTATTCCGCCTCCTAGGATATGACTCACAGTTCATTATTGGACAGTAGGTAGATGCAGTGAGAAAAATCGGATAGAATAAGCGATAACCTTTTTGAGATACATAGCACTGAAACGGGCATTTTTATGTACAGTTAAACACAATTGATTTTTAGTTCACGAGTTAAATAGTCACAGTAATGTATAAAGCAGCTGCTGGCGCTGCCCGCTTCGCCCGCTCCGCCGCCATCTCTTCCGCCCGCTCTCCCACCCGCTCCTCCGCCCCCTCCACCACCCGCTCCACCACCCGCTCTCCGCCCGCTCCTCCTCCCCTTCCTCCGCCCGCTCTTCCGCCTTCTCCTTCTCCTGCACGTCCGCCTGCTCCTGTTCGCCGGCGGCAAAATATACTTCTCGTATAGCGTACTCGTATCGCTCGTATTTAGTATGTAACACTAAATCACGCGATCGTCCGAAGGTTAAAAGACAATCTCTCCCTTTATTTATCGAGAATTAGACCGAACTGACATTGGTACCGATATTCGTCACTGGAACCTTACATTACGTAGTACTCTCAACGGCTGACTTTACAATAAACGAGTGAAGAAATTGAATAGTCTAGTCAGCAATTCAGTGTTGAACATTTGTTGCATCTTGTGAATATTGTTTGAAGTAAGTACTATAAGAATGGTATGACAATCGACGAAAAATGCAAAAAATGCATATAAAAATGGGTCATTTCGTTTTGTCATAACATAAATTGAATTTCTATTCTAGACAGAATTGATCTAAAAGGAAATGCAAAAAAAAGTATTGAAATAAGATTAATATTTTAACTCTAAACGGGTGTCATATCTCAAGATATCAATAGGATCTTGGTACTAACCACACTGCAACAGGTTTGTGAACTCTTGGAATTTGTTACTTATCTTCAAATACGAACATCGCTTCCCTTCCCCGAGCGCGCGCAGGTAGGGGGAGCGCAGCGTGACCTTGTGTGGCGGACTGATACATTCAAAATTTATCTATTAGACAATAGTCGCAATAAATCAACATTACTCAAAAAATGCTCATCTAACAATTATTTATATCATCGGATTCGTCTCTTTACACTCGTCATTATACACTTAAATATATATATATATATATATATATATATATATATATATATATATATATATATATATTTATTTAAAAAAAACAAAGTTACCTCTCATCAACACTTTACTTGCGATGCTTAAAGATGATTTTCTTCCCAGAAGCCAGTTTAACCTTATAGGTTTTAGGACTAATTCTTTCATTTTATTCTGAATATTTTTTTCGTGTGAGTCTTCAGTCCAGAGTAATACCAAAATATTTTGCAGGGTCGTTTCGAGGAATAGGTTGCGATCCGATTTTTATAGGTAGGAATGTTTGGTGCTTCAGGCTGAAGGTCACATAGGCAGATTTCTTGTAATTTATCTTGAGGCGCCAGCGTTGTGGATGGATAACAGATATTCTTCCACGAGACAATATGCATCTGCTGGGTCTTCGTGTCGAGCTAAGATGGCCGTGTCGTCTCGTAGGTTGCTGTCACAATGTTTGCAGATGTTGGGAAGTCGGCAGTAAAGAGTGAATAGAGAGAAGGTGCAATCACACTTCCTTGAGTCACTTCTGAATTAATAGAGATAAGTTCTGAAGATTCACCATTAAAGTTTACTTGAAAATTGTCTCCCTATCAGCTTGTTGATTTGGAAGCGGGATGTGGTTTTCAATAATACACTCATATTAAATGTAACAAACAAACATATTTAATATGTAAAGCGATGGGCATGGATGATATATGATATTACATGAAATTTATTGCAAATTTGAAACACGCGACTTTTCTTTTAATTTTGATGCTTGACTCGACACAAACTAAATAAACTGGTTTGGCCGCCATAAATGCCGATGCTGGTGGCATCTTTTTCTCAGCTTTTCTCAATTATTGTCCTACCTCATTTTAGCGGCAGTAAAGCTGGTGATTAGCATTGTTGTTGTTGTTGTTGTTGTGGCAGTAGAACACACCCGGCTGGTGGTGTTGACCGACGGGTAGGGGCGGGTCGCCCCGCGACAGCATGCAGCCAAGACCACGGCCGCGCTCGTCTCCCTTGCTCAGCCGGACCCAGGGATGGAAGCCCCGACCGTCAAGCATCCACGATTCGCGTCGGCGATGATTCATCTAATTCCCGAATCAAGCGATCGCCGACTTCCACTACCGGTGTGCGGGCTTAGCCGGCCTGTGGCACGTAACTGAATGCAACTGCGCACCGGAGACTGGAATTGATGTGCGAGTGCAGCTCACGGCCAGCGAAAATAATTTTCGCGAAATCTCGAAAGTTAATGCTTTTTTGGAGTTGAACCTCCATTCCCGTAATCTCGAAGGTTAGTGAATTTTGGAGCTTCTCTCTGAGAGCTGAGAGCTCTGGTACCCTCCTCCTCCTCCTGATTGACTGAAATCAAATTTTAGCGCAGTGTGGAGGGGCGGAGCTTCGACCAATGGCTCGTCGATCCACGCACCCGACGAACATTTTCCGTTGTTTAGCGCTGCGGGCGTAGTCCCGCCGCGACCGCGAAAATGTCGTTATGACCTAGATCGCCGGGGTTGCACGTGCGC